CAAAAAATTTTTTGAACATTTTTGCTCCCATCTACTTTTGTACCGCGCAGTCATCGAAAAAATTAGAGGGAACATTGCTCTTCTGTCTATGAAAAAATTGTAAAAATATAAGTTTTAGGAAATTTTGTTGCGATATCAAATAAGTATACAGGGTGCTCTGAAAGTCCGTCAGGAAACTCCGGAAGGTGATTCTATGGATTAAAATAATAGCAGTATGTAATGAAAATTTTTTTTCGAATTGTCAATTGTTTGCAAGTTACAGCTTGTCATTCATTTATTTTTATGTTTCTATTTAAATAACTTATTTCTTTCAAGTTCGATTAGTATCTCATTTGGCACACCCATTTAGTAGACGAAGCAATATTGGACCAGTCAGAGAAAAGTGTCATTATGCGCCGCTAGATGGCACTTTACCTAGAACTCAAAGAGTGACCACAAAAATCGCCCGTTTTTTTCACAATTCGCAAAGAACTAAAGAAAATAGATAAAAATATGTTTTTGGCCTCAAATTACTCGTCGTAAAAAATTAAGATGAGCATAGCTTTTAGTTTTTTGAAAATTTTCAAAAATCTTATTTAGGGGTTGAAAAGACGCCCAAAATGAAGAATTGAATATTACCAATAAATACCAATAAAAACTATTAGCATGTGAATTTTTCTATTTAATGATTCTTGATAAAAATAAATATTTATTCTCATGACTGAAATAAGCATGTTGAATTAGAAAATTCATCCTTAAGCGCGCTCAGGGGGTGGAATCATCCCCAAAAATAGAGAATATCAGAAATAATTGTATAAATTCCAAAAAAATATATATTAAGATAATTCACATGCTAATAGTTTTTATATCAATTGGTAGGTAATATTCAAATTCAAAGGTGATTTTTAAAATTTTCAAAATACTAAAAGCTATGCTCATTTCAGTTTTTCACGACAAGTAATTTGCGACCAAAAACATATTTTTATGTATTTTTTTTAATTCTCTGTGAATTGTGAAAAAACGGGCGAAAATCACAGGTTTTTTGCGGTCACTCTTTGTTTTGTTCACAACTTTTTTCTCTTGCTAGGCATCCCAGAAATTTAAACATTATTGGAAAGAGAAACAATATCAGAACAATTATGTACTCTTAATTCAAGCCGATAAATGTAATCGTTTACCAGGAAATCGCTATTAATGTGTTATTAAACATCCAATTTTTGATAATTCTTTCTACAATTAATCAAGTTGCCATGCTGTAATACCATCTCTAGTAAAACCAGCTTAGTAGTAAATACAATATTTCTAGTAAATTTCTTATCCTCATCTTATTTTTCCACAACAATTTTTATTGCAATTCGTAACAGCAAAATTACTAATGATATTTATTGGAAGCATGGCAACGTGATTAATTACAGAAAGAATTATCAAAATTTTGATGTTTAATAATACATTAATAGCGATATCCTGGCAAACGGTTAAGTTTATCGGCTTAAATAAAGAGTGCATAATTTTTTCTGATATTATTTCTCTTTTCAATATTGTTTAAATTTTTGTGATATCTAGCAAGAGAAAAAAGTTATGAGCAAAACAAATTTTGAGTTCTAGGTAAAGTGCCCTCTAGCGGTGCCTAATGAAACTTATATCTGACTGGTCCAATAGAGCTTCATCTACTTACTGGGTGTGCCAAATGAGATACTAATCGAACTTGATAGAAATAAATTATTTAAATAGAAAATTGACAATTCGAAAACAATTTCATTAGATACTGCTATTATTTTAATCCGTAGAATCACCTCCCGGAGTTTCCTGATGGACTTTTAGAACACCCTGTATAATAAAAGAACAAATGGCTGTTAAATTTCGGAGATATGAACCAAACCTTTGTTTTTTTAAATGGTACACCCTGTATATTTGTCGCTTTTTGAGATTTGTCTGCCTTGTTGACATCTATTTATGATTCGTTGTCTTAAATCTGCTACATTTTCAACTGGTGTTTAATTTTTTTTAAACTATTAATTCCATTAGAAATTATTTTAAAATTAAATATGAACAAAAAAATATATAACTCGAAAATGGTTTATTGTATGAAGAAAATGCAAGAGACCTTTTTTATTAAAAATATGACAGTAAATTAATGGCGACGATAAATTTTTCTGAAAATCCAGTGGTGTAGTTTTTCTGAGGGTTTTTATGACAAAGGTCCCCTAAATCTCCGCCACTGATTGACATATTCATAAAGAAATATACCGAATTATTAGCTTTAATTAGTTACATTATTTCCAAGTTTCGTCAATTTACATCAGCACAAATTAATACGGTTTATGGCATTTTTTTTTCTAATTCCCGTTGACCCAGTTTTAAGGGAATCTAATTTTGAAGGGACTCGTTATATTTAGAATGTCAAGGTACTTAATTCCAGGATAAAATTTATCGTGGACCGCGGCAATTTAGCACCGGCACGTATATCTCACGTTGAACGTAACAACTTGGAACTTTAAGGTCAGAGTTGGAACACCCCCTTACATTTCGCCCACGGTTTGCAGCACCCTCGGGTGGCATCAGATCGTCTGTCCTTTGTGAGAGGCAATTCAATTTAGCAGAAAATGCGAGAAAATTGAAATTTACGTCGAGGTTTCACAAGTCCGAACACGTTCGTTGTTTATAAATAACTCGGACTATAATCGGCTTTATTATCTCGCCACGGATCAAAGACGCTGCCGGTCGGATCAGAAATTAAAAAAAAAGTTGATGGAACGAAGGTTTTTAATTTTAAAATATTGGATACGTTGAAGGCATCGGAAAAGTGAAATATGTTTTGTTTGCTAATGTTTTACGAAGAATTCGTGTTCTATATACAGGGTGTTACAAAACTGTACCACGTCCTATTGAGGGTCTCCTTTCTCTCATGAAAACAAGGCGATAAGTCATATAATAACCAAGGGCCTACAAATGCTCTATTATCGAGGTACTTAAAATTAAATATTTCGGAAAAGAATTAAGAAAAAAGTTGGCACTGAATACTGCTTCGGGATTGAAAATAACGCTCATATACTACAGTTTGGATCAGGACGGCATCAACTTCGAATCCAATTTTCGCTGGAAAACACCTCAAGAAAAGGAAATAGTGGTACGTAAAAAAAAACACTCAGACACGGTCCAATTCCAGATACCAACACCAACTGAATTGCGTATTGCTGGACAGCTTAGTACCTCGTGTTAACCGCCGCACGGTTGTCACATTGCTCGATATGAATTTTATCGAATTTTAAATTTATTACAACGCTAAGTATTTTTGAGGATCAAGCATAAAGAAGTTAAAAAAAGTGACGAACATTATATTTTATGGTATTCTATGTAAGCAGTTATGTCAATATTCCTTAATTAATCGAACTTTGGTACATCAAGTTGGAGATGTTGATAATTTTTTTTCTCGGAAATGGTTAAGCTTAGGACCCACGTCATATAAGGTTTTTTTTTGTTTATTTTAATGTATTCTATAGTCTGTTAAAATTAAGGGAGTCAAAATTCTAACACCCTGTAGTGAAGTATATTAAAAGTTAGTGTATATTTGTGCTAATTATATCTTACTCTTATATGTTTATATTTTCTGTTATGCTTTGGTAGGGTTATAGAGATATAATGTTTGATAGTCTATGGGTGTATTGTATAATATGTGCAAGACTTGATTTGTTAGGAAATGACAATAATACTTTCTAATACATTGAGCTTGACTCTTGACCTCTCCTGGTTATATCCCCCTTTCTGCAAGAAATAGACTCATCAGATTACAATTGACACTTTGGATATATTCATACAAAATTCTCTCGCATTTATAAGATTCATACAACTTTTTTCTCTTTCCAAAAATAGCAGATGTAAGTAGGGAGCACAGTATAGGAAACACACTATAGTAGAATCGTAATCGATGCAAAGTAGGGCAAAAAGTTGTCGCTCTTTTATCAAAGGAAAATCATGTCATCATTTTTAGGAGGCGTTAGATGAACTATTTCAAATTTAAAATGAAATTGAATGTAAAATCTAAAATACCGCTGCATACGCACTGTGTTCTGGTACTAGCTGTAGTCGCCCAGGTGCATCTAGTGTACAAAGTGGTCGGTTATACGTCAAATACTAATCTGGTCGTATATTAAAGAGCGTCTCCAAAAAACAAGTAAACAACAGTGGCGCATACAGAGGTAAAATGTAGTACATATGTGAAATTTAAAAAACAAATTGGATTTGTAATGAATTACATTTAAAATACATAGTTTATGAGAATAAAGGAATTTTTGTAGGAACAAGGGTGCCAGACGTGAACTGATCCCTTCGTCCCTTCATAATGTATAAATAAATTATTCATTTCTAAAACCCTTAAAAGCGTATGGCACTGGATCCCTTGACAGGCATTGATTCATTACTTTGCATCGAATATGATCCTACTATAGACAGAAATGTTTCAAAACATTTCAGTAAAAGTGAAATTCGATTGATTCAATTTTAAAAGTTACAAAATATAGGACGTTTACAAACTATTTTTGTTTGCTTACAAGATGAAATTATTTCTCTAACAATAATCTAGAAATTAGAAGTTCAAAAAAGTATATTGTAAGAAAATATTTCTTAATAAATATTTTTTAAAGTAACTCCCATTAGAATGAAGACATGAACATCAAAATATTTATTTATTATGTCTCTAATTTTAGAGAAAGCTCTTAGACGCTTGAGGCTTTATTTTTTGTCGACCTTACCTCTGAACAATTTCACTTTTAGCCGTGACCTTCGGCGTTCTAGAATCAAATAAATGAAACCAGAGAAGTTCAGGATTTATAGATGACATTTAAAATTGATTAGATTTGACGCTTTCTCTTCATTCAGGACTCATCCCGCGGTTCAAGTAAAATTGGTCGACTGTATCGAACTAAATATTTCATCAGAACCGCAAACACTCTATTAATAGAATTCACGAAAGCGCTTTCTGCGTTGCTGAACATATTTAATTAAAACAAATTATTCCTTTCCAGCTCCCGTTGTTAGATACAAGCAAATCGTCTTCCAGGCTCAACCTAAACCAAGGGAAGTCGGCAAATACCCCCAATTCCCCGATGGTCGAATCATTCCCTGCCATCAATAACAACTCCCATGGCTCCCACGAACTCACCAATAACAACAAGGAGGAGAATGGATTCCCGATGACACCGTCTGGTAAGTCGTTTCATCGTTGTGTTTATCATCTTTACTTCGCATCACAGGCTATTTAAATATCTCAAAATATACAGGTATAATAAACAAATATTGGTTAGATAATCAGTGTAATTACCAAAAAAAAAATCTAAAATTGATTAGAGCAATATTAATGGTTTTCCATGTTTTAACATAGGTACTTATTAATATAAAACGAAATAATATAGCAAATAATTTGATCCGTATTTTTTTATCTTTGTATCAGATCATTATTTAACTGAGGCTTTAAAAATACGTAAAAGTGACTACTTAGACTATGCTTTAATTAATTAAAAAGAAGCTCAACTCATAAACTGTCCTTTTATTTATTAATAATATCTTAAATAAGAAGGTTCCTGTAATAACATAACTATCACAAGGTTGATAAAAATGGCGTACGATTCGAAAAGGAAATCAAAAAAAAAATTATACAGTGTGTCCCAAAATGATGGAACAAAATTCATACTTTTTATCTAGAAACAGGTCAATTAGTAAATAGAAATTGTCACTTTTCTGCAATACTTTCTATTTTTTTGCGCCATGTTTGACAAAAACCTATAACATTACGGATTTTAATAGGACGCTCTGTATTTTATAGTTTAAATCTATAACCCTTCTAAAGACAAATTCAGCGATATAAGGTTATACCTACTTTTTTGTAAATGTAAAAAATTGTCTTTTAAGTGGTACTGACGACTATTTCAAACAATCATACTCTCTTCTATACTTTAAACGTACCTACTCTTTATTAATCTTTTTCTACTTACTTTAAAGTTTTTTTTCTCAAAAAAAAACATCGATAAACACATAAAATTCACCAGAGCACCTTAGGTAAGTATAACGTGAATCGTTTTAGTTCCAATTCCTTCATTGTTAAATTGTTTTGAAAAATGGTTGCCCCGTTTAAGAAAAAAACAGAGAATTGAATTTTAATTATGATTGGATTTGCAGAGAAAATCCGTAGTCAACAGGAGGTATATGTGAGTTATTTCACCATAAGTATCTAGACCAGAAAATTACTCGAGCTGCAATAAGTAAAGTATCCAAAATGTTTGAAGAAACCGTTAGTATAAAAGATCTACCTGGATCAGGAAGGCGAAGAACGGTAAGGGAAAATGACCTTTAAAATGTGCTCGCCGTTACTAAAAATCCTCACTCACTCATTAGACCTATCTCAGCCAAGTTCAACTTGTCGAAGTCCTCAGTTCACAGAAATCTGAAGTCTCAAACGTGGCGTCCGTACAAGGCAGATGACACAGACAGAACATTACAGTTTTGCGAGGAAATTAGAAATTTATTTGAAAGACAACCCAACTTAAAAAATCACATAATTTTCACTGACGAAGCAACTTTTTGCTTAAACGGAACTGTGAATATACAATACTAGGTTTTTAAGCCCAGAAAATCCACAATAGATGCAAGAAAACATACACAACGGCCGGAAAAAGTGAATGTTTGGGCTGGAATAGTAGGAAATCGCATACTGGGACCTTATTTCTTCGAGGGCAATCTGACAGGCGATACTTATTTGGATTTTTTGCGTTTTCAACTGATTCCAGTCCTGGAATTAATTTTTCCTAACCCTAATGAGCACGATATGCCTGCTGGTGATGTCTGGTTCCAACAAGATGGTGCCCCTCCATTCCACATTTTCGCCTCGATGTAAGAAATTGCCTTAATAAAGTTCTCCCAAATCGATGGATAGGCAGAAGAGGGCCGCTTGAATGGACACCACGCTCCCCTGACTTAACCCCACTAGATTTTTTTTGTGGGGTTGTCTAAAAAGCAAAGTGTATGTGAACAGACCAGGATCCACTATCGAAGGATTGAAAAATCGTATCAGAGAGAACAAGTTCGAAACATAACACCAAAAAAATAGAATAAAAAATAGAAAATATTACAAAAAAGTGATAATTTCTATTTACTAATTAACCTGTTTCAGGAATTTTTTTAAATTTCAACTGTAAAAAAAATATGAATTTTGTTCCATCATTATGAGACACACTGTATAAGGAGTTATTGTGACATTTTGACACTTTAATACATTTCGTGTATTTAAAATTGCATTTCTAACGAAAATTTCCATAAACTGGTTATATCCCAAGAATAATTTTATTTTCAATTTACTTAAATTGTGTTGCTGGCTGTAAGCTGACTTTAATCTAAAAAAATCAAAACTATAAAACGACTCCTTCTTCGAAAAAAATGCATTCGTGAATACATGTCACGTGATCAATAATTTAGTTTGGATTAGTAATTCCTTTGCATTACCAATTAAATTTCGGTAAAATTATTAAAATGATAGAGTCAAGGCACATATCTAACCAATATGCGACACTCTTTTGATAAGGCACAGATGCCGCCGTTGACCTTGTCCATTTAAACTGGATGCTAAACGTTGCCAGATTGGACAATAAAAATTGATATCTGAAAAAAGTGTTGCCAATTCGAAATATTGAATGAACATGAACATAAAATGCTTACACCTACATTTATCACAATTTTCACTTAATTGATAAAGTGTCTGTCTAACCGGGATGATAAATTAGATAACTAATATATTAAAATAAAATTGCTAAGTGTTCATTAATTTTTTGTTGAAATAAAATACCTAATAACAAATTATACACATATTTAATTTTACATTTTTTATATTAGGAGTTTTACTAACATTTTTATTAATAGATTTTATGTGGTAGTAAATTCGCAGAATTACAAGTTACTTTATTAAATAGTCCAAAGAAAAATTTGGACAGGGATGTTGAACTGGAGGTACATCTTTACAAAAATTATAAATGGTGTTTCCTGGGTAGTTACAAATACAATTAGCAATCAAATTTGTTATCTAACTGAATAATGATTATAGAAAATATGTCATTTTAACTTCCAAAAGGTATTACACTAGTTATGTAAATTTGAAATCGTTTTATCCATGCATTATTAATTCTGGGTGTCCACATTTTTCTATCGACATCTAAAAGAACAATTTATATTATAAAAATTTAATATTTAAACAATTTTTATAAGCAATTTAAGATTACCTATATAAAAAGTAATAATCATACAATTGTTCTTCTTTAGGAAACCGAAAAAATGTATATTTTTATTTTCTTTCTTGCATTTCCGAACTGATTTAGACATTCTGTGTAACTGCAAATAATTGTTAATGAAAACGCCAAAGTTTTAAAAATAAATAACTATAAATTCACTGTAAACCACTTTTTAAAACACTTCAATACAGCTAACGGCAACAATGTTTACAAAATGACCAAAATGGCTATTATATGATTTATACGTAACGTCACTAACATAAACTACACGGAGATAAAACATGTACGGAAGTATTCGGGCTTCATCGGTAATGTATTTAATTCGCAGATAAAAACCGTTCATACGTAGCATCATTTTATGGGCAAAATAATCAAACATTCTATTTTACTCTACAAAATTTATATATCCTTAAAGTTTTGTATTTCATATTTATTCTGTTTAATGCCGAAATAATAGTAAATATGAAAATATCATCTTACGTAGTCACACAGCTGTTCTGTTGGGATATACGCATGCGTTCAGTCCCTTTAAATTGGATGTATCTCCATTCGTGTTGCACAAAGTAGCTCTATCTCTCTAAGTGTCGCATATGGGTTAGATATGTGGTCAAGGTATGTTAAGTCACAACTTTATGCTTTACCGACAATTTATTCAACCAATAGGCAATCCGATTTTCACATAAACGCAATAGTTTGTCATTGTTATCATGTTAAATCATTAATATTGATGACCCTAAAATTTAGTGATTTTTAATTGACAGTACCAATTGTGCAATGTTGGTTGCCTATACTTGGTGGTCACGTGGCTTGTAATCATTTATAAAGACTCTTTAGTTCTTCAGCATCATTAGCCCTTTATGATCTATTAATAGTTTTAGGTCTCAAATATATCGTAACAATAAAGGAGACCTGCTCTTGGTGCGTGATGTAAGATTTATAAAATAAGACATCACTAACTTCCCTTCAGATATTTCCTCGCAGAACGAACTTTTAATGAAAGATAATTAGACTAAAGACATACAGCTGCTTTTCGCTGGAACGTACGAAATTCAAACTATTCTCTGCCACGATATAAGTCTCGAATGTCACGTAGTCACTTGTAGGCCGGGAATACTTTAATCTTGCACCATTTGTTGTGGAGCAAGTGCACATTTCTGTGGAGTAGGCAGATGCAAATCAGTTCCCCTGCTTATCGAGATCGGGATCGGTTTCTTACAACGAAAGTTGCACCTTGACGTTGCAATGCATTTTGTGCACGTTCGAGAAGAGCCGCATTTGCATACTACAAAGTAAATTAGCTTGACAGTTTAAAAAAACGAGTTTTCAATTTTGCACGTAGAATCCAGTTGAATTGGTTGTAGGTATGTGGAAATAATACCAGCGAGTAACGAAATGATGGAAGTTGCAACAATGTTATTGAATATAAAGTCTATACGTTTAGAGGAATTAAATGGTCGAAATTAAAAAAGATATCGTTGTCGAACAGTGACAGCCCTTTTCTAAAAATTTTTACTCAAATCAGTTCTTTTACTAGTAGTCCAGTTGGTAGAGGTTTGGCCTGTGTCAAACCTTGATAACCCGGAAATAACTACACAGGCCTACTTTAAATGATGAGTACAATAACAGGTTAATTTGCTGACAAAGTATTTTATCAGGAAAAAAAGTTATTAACAATTTAATCGTGAAAAATTTTTTTTTCGTAGTTTTCTTTAAATAACAGCGGGATGACTTTGTACGAAAAAATGCTTAGGACATGATTTTGTTCGTAATAAAAATAGTTACAAAATGGCGGTGGTCCGATTACGAAATTTGCAATAACAAAGTCGTGAGATTGAAAAAACGGTATAAAACGTCATTTTTTAAAAGTTGCTGTAAAAATGTCAATTATAAACAAAAAGTGATAAAACTTTCGAAAACTATAGTTCAATATAT